CCATGCGCGCTCCCTGGCCCCGGGAGGCGGCCGCCCTGGGGGTGAGTGTTGGGGCGCGCGGCCTGCGGCGGGGACACAGAGGGACGCGGGCGGGGGGCTCGCCTGGCGCCGTTCGGCCTGTTAGTCGAGCAGGGTTCCGCGGTTCCAGGCTGGGGGAACGAGCGAGGGCTGGGGCCTGGGGAGGAGCGCGATCTCCGTTTGCAGGTGAGGGTTGAGGGTGTGCGCCCTGCATGCCGGCGTGGGGTGGGGGGCTTAGGGGGTGCCTCTCGAAATCCCCAGTGCGCGGCAGGAGGAGGGCACATTTTTAAACGGCCAGAAAATTCAGCCTGTTTCCCCGCCTCCCACCTCCCCCACCCCTTCCCTTCCAAGCCCCGGGAAAGGCGCAGAACCCGGAGTTATAAAAAGCCATCGCAGGAGAGGAGCGAGGAGCGAGGAGGAGGAGGAGGAGGAGGAAAAGGAGAAGGGGGTGGGGAAGGAGCGAGGGGGGACGGGGCAGGCCGATCTCCGGGCTCTGCGCCCCTCCTGACGTGGGTGGAGGGCGCAGAGGGCGGGGCGGGACCGGGACCCTCGCGCAGAGCTGTGCATCTTGGGGTTCATTCACCTCGTCTGATCGCAGGAAGTGCTCCTGTGGTCTGGGGAGAGGGGGTCGTACCAGGACAGAGGGGCTGTTGTGTACACCCTGGTGACCTCCGACAGGTGGGCCCTAGGAGGCACCTCACCACCGCCACCACCCCCCTTCCCCCTCGCCTAGATCTTCTAAGGTTCCGAAAAACAGAACCCGCCGCCCCCTCCCTCTCGGTACCCAATCCTGATTATCTCGGAGCGGGGGAGCGAAAAGATTTGAATTTATTATTTTTTTTAAAAAAAAAAGTTTGTCGTGTCTCGCTCCCCTCTCCCCATGTTAGCACCCGGGGAACCCGGGGAGAAGCGAGTTTCAGCACTCGACGGGGCGGACAGCGCCCCAGGCGGCCGGAGAGCGGGGTGGAGCTTGGGGACCCCGGGCATCGCTTGGGGCCCTCCTCTCTCCCTAGGCGGCCCCCTCCCTCCATCCGCGGGTTGGGCCGAGCGGACTTCAGCACCGGCGGGAGGGACAGCGCCCGGCCGCCCTGGTCCCCCTGAGCCGCTTAGCGCCGGAAGGTCAAGGCCGCTGGGCCGCTGGCGGAGAGGTGGGGAGGGGCGGCGCTCGGGGCCCGCTTTTCTGACCCGCGTCTGCTTTCTGCCCGGCAGCCGTCGGGATGGAGGTGAGAAGACGGCCGTGACGCACGGCTGCGCGGCCCCCTGCACCCCCAGCAGCCCACAGCGCTCCCTGCCCCCCTTCCCGCGGCGGCCGGCCTTGCCGTCGAGTGACAGCGGCCTGGGGGGGCAGGGGGGGCGCGGGCGGCCAGACCAGCGATGCCGGCGGGCATGACGAAGCATGGCTCCCGCTCCACCAGCTCGCTGCCGCCCGAGCCCATGGAGATTGTGCGCAGCAAGGCGTGCTCGCGGCGCGTGCGCCTCAACGTTGGCGGCCTGGCGCACGAGGTGCTCTGGCGCACCCTGGACCGCCTGCCCCGCACGCGGCTGGGCAAGCTCCGCGACTGCAACACGCACGACTCGCTGCTCGAGGTGTGCGATGACTACAGCCTGGACGACAACGAGTACTTCTTCGACCGCCACCCAGGCGCCTTCACCTCCATCCTCAACTTCTACCGCACCGGCCGCCTGCACATGATGGAGGAGATGTGCGCGCTCAGCTTCAGCCAGGAGCTCGACTATTGGGGCATCGACGAGATCTACCTGGAGTCCTGCTGCCAGGCCCGCTACCACCAGAAGAAGGAGCAGATGAACGAGGAGCTCAAGCGCGAGGCTGAGACCCTCCGGGAGCGCGAGGGTGAGGAGTTCGATAACACGTGCTGCGCGGAGAAGAGGAAGAAGCTCTGGGATCTCCTTGAGAAGCCCAACTCCTCTGTGGCTGCCAAGGTGAGTGTGGGGTCCGGGGGCAGGTGCCGCTCGAGTCCGGACTCTGATGGCGGCCCCAGGTTGAAGAGCAGAGCTGGGGAAATTCGGTTTCGTTCTATGAGTCAGGAGGGAGAGTGATGGCGGAGGCCCCAGAAGGGTGGCCCAACGCCCGCAGACTTTTCCTATGTCATCCTTTTATTGTTCAATAATTTATCTCCTCTTTTGTTGGAGGAAAGGATTTACTGGGACTTATAAAAACCATGGCAAGAGAACAGACACTAAAAAATAGGCAAAAAGAGCCCAGAGGGAGAATGACACTTTGCTGAGCGGGAGTAGAGTTTGGTCTCCTCCACATCATATTCCCTGTGAAGCCCCAGACCCAGGCAGCAAGTGTTCTGTCCTGCGATTTTAGAACATATTCCTATGTTGATAATCCCGCTCTGCCCCATAAAGGAAATGAATGTGTCTCACAGACATGCTTGGAAGACACTGAGAAGCTGTCAGGTGGTTTCCAAAGAAGGAAAACAAGGCAAAGGGACTGTGAAGGTGAAATTGGAGTCTGTCTGCTGCAGATAGTCTTCAGTGTATGCTTGTGGGCAAGGGATCAACGTGTGTGTGTGTGTGTGTGTGTGTGTGTGTGTGTGTGTTTGTTGTTGTACCGGAGAGACGGTACTTCTCCATAGCTGATCCTCCGGTGGGTTTTCCGAAGCAATAAATCACACTGGAGGAGATTGCACATCCTTCTCCCACAGAGCAGCTGGTGGATTGTACTCAAACTGCATGCCTTTAGGACTGCAAGCACAGCTTCCTATCACTAGGCCATCAGAGTTCCCTATCTGTTTGGGGAGGGTGTTATTATAAGCATGACTTAATGCTGTTTGCAAAACTGCTTTGGCTCCTGGAAGAGAATGTGGATTGTTAAATAGGAGAGAAAAATTCTGCATTTTGAAAAATCATGGATGGAACAGATACAGGTTTGAGCGGCCAAATAGGGTGGGCTGGAGGGTCCTGTGAGCTTCAGGATAAGTCAGAGGCCATCAGGGGCTGAGCAGGGCTTAGGGTAGGGGCCACACCAACAGTGAATTCCTTCTGGGTTAGGTTGGCATTCAGCGGGCCTCAGAGAGACGGGACCACTGTGCTGGGTACCTGCAGTGAATGATAACACAGGGTGCTGGAATAAAGCTCATGGCAGGGGGCTCCAGAGGAAGCCAGAGATGAGAGGTGCTCAGGTTGAAACTGAGGTTGAAATCAAAGTGGGGAGGATTCTACCTCCCAGAACAGACCCTAAAAGCGAGGGAGGATTGTTGTTGCTGTCAAGCTGATAGTGGCCCCAGTGGACAGACCAAAACTGATCTCCACAGGGGCGAGTCTCCAGTTCTTTCTCCCACAGAGAGGCTGGGAGGGTTCAAACCACTAACCTTTGGGTTAACAGCCGAATGTCTGCACCACAGGTAAGCGTATTCCTGACAAGATGAAAAGGGGAGGAGGAAGCCTGCATATTGGGCCACAATATCTTAATGCAGCACTGGCGTCAGCCCAATCTGGTCTCTCTTTTGGGGTCTCTGTGGCCTTTCGCTGAAGACTGATTGCAAGTCCAGGTGTGAAGAGGCCTGAGACCCTCGTGGACACAGAAGGGGATGGCTGATAAGAGGGTAAAGGAGCCTAGTCTTTCTCCCTGCTCCTTTTCACCTCTAAAGAGGACCTCCAAGTGCCTGGGCCTGCCTTCCTGTCCGGAGGTTGTGGTGTAATCTCGCCCCAGGTTTCATGCCCAAAAAAGCCGCCTTCTTAAGACAGTCACTCACCCTTAACCGGCTTAGGATCAACAGATTTATTTTGCTATTTTCAGGCCTGACACAGTCTCTTTCTTCTCCCTCCCCATACCCCATTTAGTTCCAAGCAGGACTCTCTCCTCCCTGTCCAGTCCCCAAGACATGAAAGTGGGGGCAGGGAAGGGGCGGTCTTGGAGGGCTTGTGTTTGGGTTGGCGGCTGGCAGCCAGGCAGGGAGCTGTTGGAGGCGCTGTTTGGGCATAAACAGCCTCTCTTCGTGTTAATCCGCTAGCAGGGACGAGCTTGGTGACCTCCCAGTGATCCCAGGCGGGAGGCTGTCAGCTCGCATTCCTGGCAGATGGACAGTCTGGGGATTTTCTGCAGCCGGGAGCTGAAATGGGGAAGCAGGCAGGCTTGTTGGCCCTCCGTGTAGGATTCCTGACCGGCTCCTTTTCAGACACCTACTGTGGATGGGAGCTTACAACACAATCAGTCCTTCCCTACTGAACCTCTCTGGGACCCCCTCCCCACTTGTACACTGGGAGGCTCAGGGAGGTTAAGTAATCTGCCCAAGGTCACAGGGCAGGCAGATAGAAGCTGCCAGAATTCAAAGGCAAGTATGACTTTGAAGACCCTGTTCTTTCCTTGTGCTTCAGGGCCACAACCCCCTCCCTGGTTTCTTCTGCTTCCACCATCACCTCCATATAGCAGTCGGAGTGTGCATTTCAAAATGTAAATTGAATCCTATTATTCATCTGCTTAAAATCCTCCAGTGGTTTCTCATCACACGCAGAAGAAAATCCACGCTCTTCACTGGCATAGCAGGCCTGCTAGCATCTAGCCCCGTGACCTCTCTCTGCGCATCTCTCTTACTGAATTCTGGTTCTCAACTCTAGGCCCACTTGCCTGCTTGCTGCTCCCCCAAAAGGGCTTCCTCTCACCCCCCCCCCGGGCCTTTGCACTTGGCTGTTGCTGCTACCTGGAGGCTTCTTTCCCAGACTGTGCCCTGGCCATTCGGGTTCTCCAGCAGACTTTCCCTGAACCCCGTCTGAAACAGCTTCCCTCCCATGGTCCTCTGTAGAGTCCTCTGGTGCATCGTGCTGTCTTTCCTGCATGGACCTTAAGCATTATCTGAAATTAACGTTCATTTCTTTGGCTTTTCTCTCTTTCTTCCCATAAGAGTGTGAGCTCCTTGAACTGCATTCAGTGCTCTGTTCCCAGCACCCGCTCTCGTATGCTCAGAGAGCTGCAGAGATCGGTGTGTGGAAAGCATAAGTGAAGCAGTCCACCGATCCCTCACTGATTCTGCTGCCTTTGGAGACGTGTCGCTCCTTCCTCACAGCCCACCCGTGACCCAGTTCTCTGAACCTCTGGCCTCTTTCAATCATTTGCACTCCACCCACCTCTTTGCTCATCATCCCCTCAACTTAGATGTCTTGCTTGTCAGGACAGAGAGGCCTGTGGAAATTTCTTAGCAGCTACAGAGAGAGGCTGCTGGGTCCTTTATTAGATGAAGTTCCGATACGGTCGTATCTCATATGCTTAAGGGCGCTCTGGTGGCTTAGTCATAAGGAGTTGTGCTGCCAATCCAAAGGTATGCGGTTTGAATCCACCAGCTGCTACGTGGGAGAAAGATGGGCATTCTCCTCCCATGTGATTTACTGCCTCTGAAAACCCACCGCAGGGTCAGCTGTGAGTCAGTTCAAACTCAGAGGTATACGACAAAATGTTGAAGAGCACATGCAGACCCAGGTTCCAGTCCCAGCTACACCGTTTCCTCAATTTTTGGCCTTAGGTGAGTTATGCACTGCTCCCTGCCCCAGACTCCCACCTGTAAAGTGGAGATAATGGGCCTGCTTTGCTGGCCATCGTGAAATCTCATTTCTCCAAACCCAGCTCAGTGCAACAGGGGGAACCGTTGTTTGCAGTGATGGGATTGGAGGCCTCTCTGTCGGGCTGGTGGGCCGTGCTGCGGGAACGCCGTTTCCTTCAGGGAGCGGCACTGGGAAGGCTGAGCTGCTGCTGCTGTTAATAATTGATAGGCTGTTCTGGCAACGTGGACACAAGCCATAGCGCAGGCCTTGGGCTTGGCCGTCAGGGGACCAAAAATCAAAATCCATTAGGCGAACGGCAGTGTGATTGATTCTTGTTTTGAAGATGGGGTCAGCCCCCAGCAGGGCGACAAGCTTGTGGTGCTGGGGCCACGAGTGGGTTCCTGCTTTCTCAGGAAACTCTGTAGGGTCCTATCAGAAGGGGAGAATGAGAGTGGTGATGAGGTTGTGATGGGGGGGTGTCTGACCTCCAGCTTCCCCGGGAGGGAGGAGAATTATTATTAACAGCACTGTCAGCCCTATGAGGTGAGACGTGCCTCCTCTCAGCTATTTTTACCAATTCTGACACCAACTGTCCCTTCCGTGACACACTCTACTCCTCTGCTAGGTTTAATAATTCATTGCAATGGCCACACAGAACGCGGACAATACTGATGATTATGGAATTCATTAGGGAAGTAGTAGGTATTTAGAACCAGGAAAGATGCAGGATATAGTTCTGGTTAGGACAGCTGATTTTTAGCTGCATCTACAAGCAGGCATTTTTGATCCAGCCCGTCAGCCACTTGGCCTCACATCCTGGCCTCCGCCTTGCTGCCAATAATACATAGCTCTCTCGCTTCATGGGTCGGGAAGCCCACTGTGCTGTCTCCTGTTTCTGCGAACACAATTTCTCTTGCCCTCTCTCACTGTCCCTTGCCATCTCTGGTATTACAGCTCTTTGTTGTCTGTCTTCTGGGTCTAGAAGATTTCTGTGCAGGGATCTTGGGTTCAAAGGGGATGATCTCTTCTCTTCTAGATAGTGATGAGGCCCGCCTCCCACGTTCTGCCTCTCTGTTGGCTCATTTTAAGCCTAGTGGGATGGCAAAACTGACCAGCTCCCTCATTGGGGTTCTGTATACTTTATTTACGTGGTCCAATCCTGACAAGTCAGTCATGCACCTTTTGTTCATTATGACTAAGGTACCCAGTCCCCTTGGTGGGCCGTGGCAACTTGTTTGAATAGTTTCACACTATTGTTTAGTGGGTGGGGGTCACAAGAAAGGACCGTATCAAAGCTGTTCAGCACACAGCAGGGAGAGGATCACCTAACTCATCAGGTCAGGAGTGTACATTCCCTGGAACAGTCTCAAAGGTAAAGCCGTGAGCTAATTTTCTAACATCCAGAGTAACTGCTGTTTATTATGCTAGACACTAATTAG